TATCTATACGCGGACTTGGCAACGAGCCATCATTGTCGCCAGCATGACATCAGTGTTCAATACCCATGCTTCGCTGCCGTACAACCATGATTTACCTGAAAGACTTATTGAGAAGAAGGGAATAACGGCGGGCAGGAAATGGACTTAGTGACAGCTTACCACAGTCATTCCGAGGTGCCTACACATCCAAACACTCACTCAAGCAATCTGGATAGACACTAACAACAAGATCGCCACTGACATCGGCTAGCAGCTATATACTGCAGTGTCTCCAACCAGGTGCAGTGGGTACCACGCGGCCCCATCCTGGAAGACGGGTAGCACTGACAGCACCAAAACGTTTCGTAATCTCTTTCATACACTTCTCTCATGCCATGGGTCAGCCACATCTCCGCTTTCGCCACCCTGAATCAGGCATGGAAATCAGCACTCTCTTCGGCAAGCGATGGTTAGGCATACGCAACTCACGTCCGAACCAACGCAGCTTCTTGTGCTGGACCCATTCTTCAATGGGACTACCCGTTGCACAACAGAAAACTCACTTTCTGCTCGCCTCGTTACGGGTTCGACGACACCGACCCACACGATCTAGACAAAGATTGTCAAACACCTGAACACATCTCAGTCCCGCTACTCGAATAGGCCAAGCCTCAGAGTCGCACAACAATGCAGCCCGTACTGTAGCTTGATACACACATCCCCTTCAGGGATATACCGCTTTGACACCATAGGTGTCTCAAATTAGCAAACGCGACCCTGACCTCGAAGAATCATGCATTGACCTCACCTGTCACACTACAGTCAGAACTAATACAACTCCTAAGGTAAGTGAAACGCTCCACAAATACGAGTCTCTTTCTGGACTGTAAGTGGCGTGTTCAGCGACTGCATGTCCACGAGCATGACCTTACAAACCAAAGGACGGATTGACTTTGGCCAGTTTAACCAAAAACACCAGCGCCTTCTCCTCTTCGAACATAGGGACAATGCCGTCTGCATATTTCAGATCGACAAGGAACTTGTCACAGACTATTTGAACACTAGGGTCATGGAAACCTTCCAGTATTCGTTTCGTGATTTCATCGATCATGGGGTTAAACAGGAATGGGGGGAGTGGCCATCCCTGACAGTCAATGTTTTGTGAACGGAAGTTTTTGGAAAGTTCGCCGTACAATTGCACAAGTCCGGCAGTCCGAGAATACAATGAGCTTATTGTGTTCACAAACTTTCGAGGCATATCAAGTAAGAAGAACAAGCATGTCGAGAAGAACAGAACGGTCAACCGAGTCGAGTGCCTTCTGGAAATCCAGATATATCAGGATTGTGGGTCGGTTGTACTTATGGCATTGTTCTAGCACCTGACAGAGTGTGAATACTTGGTCAACACAATTCCTTCCAGGCCGGAATCCCGCCTGCTGCTCTCGAGTCCGTATCTCACGAGCCACTGTAAGCTGATGAAGCACACGTAACGCCAACAGTCTCGTTGAGACCGGGGTCAAGCTGATCCCTCTGTGGTTACCACACTCACTATGAGCTTCTTTTCTGAAAATGGGCACCATTGCCAACCTCACCCCACCCCATCAGTTATCTTGGACGGTCCCGTTCGCCCAAATGCAGGAAACAGATCATAGAAGCGCTGACTGAGGACTTCACACCCGTCTGTGGACAATGCGTTTGGGAGGTCACCCGGACCAGAAGCTCGGTGGCGATTGAGAGAACATGTGCAGTCCTCCGAGGCCGTAGGTGGTTCCACGTCCACCGTCCAGGGTTCTACTTCACCTGTGGGCTCCAGATGAGTGCCAGCTGGCAGCCACGACAGTTGTTGTTCGAAGTACTCAGTCCACCGGTCGAGGCACTCTTCATTATTTGGGATGGTCGTTCCATTCTGACGGGTGGTTTCCAGGGTCCGGTCGCACGGATCAACTGAACTAATCCTCAGGCATTACCGGCGTTCTGGCGGGAAATGCAAATCCATTACCATTTCTACGGAATAAGTCGCCACATGTTCCAAGCCACAGCTTGGCGCCCCAGGAGACTTTGTTTGCCAGACATCTAGCCATTGACCAACCAGGGACTCTGTGAGGGCCACATGGACATCCCCCAATATAGCTCAGTGGGTTAGTCACACCACGGTAGTGTCCAGAATCTCCGTGATGGTATGTTCTTCTACCAAATGCAGAAATGATGCTAGATTGTTCGACATAACATACTGCTAAGCGCTTATAGGGTAAGTTTAGTTACTGGCCTGCGGATTTGTTTCAAGAACCGGAACTTTCAACTTCAGAGGCCCTTACTTTTTGTGCCTCACTTTGCTAGGAATAGACAGTGTTACAGGATCGACCAGGAGTAACCTATTCTACAACTTACATTTTCTCTGATGGACATTGCAAGTGAAGTACGCTTCAATTGGCCAAAAGAAACCGGATGTTGGTAGAAATAGCTCCTTATGGGAGTCACCCCCGAACAATGCAGCAGATGTGTTATTGACGCACAGACTGACTTAAGAAAGGCGCACTTTTACGTGCGATGGAGCGAAAAAAGAATTGCGACCTGGGTGGTGGAATAGACTATCCCGAGCAAGCTTAAGAGGGGCTGAGTAGTCAGGTTCCCTATCGTCAGTTACTGTACACTATGGTTGTTAAGTGCATCCAAGAATTAACTTCCCAGATAGAACTTCGTTGAAAAATCCCCATCGTCTGGTGTCTATTCCCCAAGAAAAAACTTCCAGATAAGTCCCCCCGCTTTTCACAGTGTGGTACTTATGATATATTGGTGTGCATGGAAAGAAACTACTTGTTTTGAGTGCTACTCACTACCCCACTGATCTACTAACCGCTACTGCCAAACTAACATTAAATTCCTGCAAGATTCGCTGTCGCCAAACTTCTAAAAGGCTGTACGTTGACAGGCTTAGTGGAAATGGGTCTATCCCAACGAAGAATCAAAACGAAACTACCGGGAGACTATCGAGTCTTGAAGTAGTCAGGGTTTCCACAAACCTTTGAAGAATCAATAAAGCTGGCTCTCTGATTTTGCACGTAATAAGTATAGGATATGTGAAGCATCAGTGATATCTCCTTGATTCAATATGCTTGTTTCTCAAGTCGAAGTTGATTACTGAGTGGGTGTGCAAAGCAGTTAAGGCTAATCATGTAACTCTAGGGACAAAAAGCCTAGATTTAGAAGCCCATGGGTTCACTATCGTGGGCAGTTCGTTTGAGGACTGGATGACCACGCTAACGTCACAACGAGGTAGAAAGCGAATGTGAATGATAATTGTCTCGACCGAAGTCAGAACTAGAGCTACCAAATTTCTAGTGGAATTGCAGTCACTTCATCGTTAGTCTGCTCGTTAATGACGCTAGACATAACTCACCACGTGCATAAGGAGCACGCCAATGGATTTCCTCTGGAAAAAGAAACCAGTGGTGTAAAACAGGGCTGTATTTCTCAACTTTGTAATTGATATACTGCTTGAAATTTCTCTGCCTGCCTCTGAAACCCCGGGGGTCGAAATGCTTCGGGGACGTTCCCTCACGGACATTGATTATGAAGATGACATTGCTCCCCTTGGTTCAGATCCTTTCTAAATGCAAACGACTTTAAATAGCCTGAATAACTCGGTCACACGATTTGACAAGCGACACCCACTTGCAGGGGGCTAGACGGCCCAGTGGTTAGAGTGCGAATTTACGACGTGAAGGTACTGTACAAAACCGGTCAAGTGGATTCTTTCAAAATTTGGTTCATTATTTTCTTACTCCAACCCGTCCACCGCACACGGATTGTCTGCACTCTGTTCATCAGGACGACCCGGTTTTGGAAAACGTCAAACCTCTTTAGACACCAGTTGGGATTTCGATTTGAGTGTTGTATATCAGACGTATCACGCCGAACGTTTGAGGCCAGCAAGAAATGAGTGAGTCATTAAACACGTTCTGTAATTTTGTAATGTACTACCCATAAGGTTGCCCACGACCGGTTTCGCCCTTCTTGGGGCTCATCAGGTAGGCGCACTCCCCGGGTTTCCGTCATCCATATGTTCTACTTGAAACCAAATTGCACGTCCTGTGTTTCATGAAATTGAACGTGACCCTTGTTGGTGTCACAAGACTGAGCAGCGTTCAACATTTAGATAGTTATCGATCAGAGGCCACCGCCGTTCACTGAATACGATGATTTCTGGTTGAGTTCTACCGCGACCAAGCTGTCAAGAAACATGGGTTATCATTTTTTTGTTCACCTGCTTGGGTACCGACGTGTTTCTTCTCCCTGCTGTCGACAGTCTGGGGGTCCGTACAAGCCGTTTCCCTTTGGTCCGACACTGTGAGTAATGCTGGCGCTGATTATCGTTGTGTCCTGTGGACAATGAAGTTTATATCTTCTTTAATCACAAAACAAGCAATAAACACAAACAACTCCCATCACATTGGGTCCACTTCGGAATTCACTGGGCAGTCGTGGGTTGTAGTTCTTCAAAATGGGGACTTGTAAAAAGTCGTGTCATGTCATTCAGCAGCATAGTAACATAAGTACGTCAGCTCTTGTTCCGAGTTCTAGAAAGATCACCGTTTTGCGTTATAACTCCAATACTACTGGACGATGTGGACC